CATGGACCTGAGTGATCCCGCTGTCCAGACTTGGGGTGATGTCCTGCATTCAACTGGAGTGAGGGATGGGGTGGTAAGTAGGGGCTTCTTATGACTGGGATTGCATTGGTTCATGGCAGATATGTGAAATCTCAGAGCAGTCTCACAGTCACCCATCCCTTTCCTTTGTGGGGAATCCTGTCCCAGTCCTGCACTGGTGCTGGGTCTGCAGGCAGCTTGAGCTTGCTCTCTTTTGCTCTCAGTAGACCCACATACTATTCTGGTGAATTACAGTGTGGTATTTCATACAGTGTCTTGAAGAGGTAATATTTACTTGCTATTTCAGGCACTCTCCATGAGCGAGGCACTCAGTAGTTGCTTCCAGTGAGCCATCTTGGAGCTGTCCCTTTCTACTTTTTTGATATATATGTTTATTGCTATAGACTTCCCTCAAGTACTGCTTTTGCTGTATCCCATAGGTTTTGATAGGTGTGTTTTGATTTTAATTTCTTTGAAGAAATGTTTTGATTTCCTCTTATTTATTTCCTTGACCCAACGGTTATTTAGATTTAATTTTCATGTACTTCTACAATTTTCAAAGTTCCTCCTGTTATTGATTTCTAGTTTTATGGCATTGTGATCTAAAAAGATTATTTATATGATTTCCATTTTCAACAATTTGTGTCCTAACGTATGATCTATTCTGGAGAATGTTCCATGTCCTGATGAGAAGAATGTATGTTCTATAGTTCTTGGATGAAATGTTCTGTAAATATCTGTTAGATCCATTTGTACTCAGAGACATCTCCTGGGTCACCTACCAGCAACTTGATTGCACTTTTTTATGAAATAGTGAAAAACTAATTGCTTCTTATTAAATAGTATAGTGTTGGAACCAATTATTTTATTGTAACAATATTTGACTTATAATGGAATTTAGGGCATTGAGGAACTTACCTGTCACAAAAAAATCAAAATTTTATATCTTACATTTTTTTAATATGTGATAACATGTGAAACAGTCACCAACATGCTTTGTAGGTTTATTGATAATGTGCAATAGTAATTTGTGTGATGTCTTCCACCTGGTGTTTTTCTATTTGAGCAGACAGTGCAGTCTCATTTTTTTCCTCACATGAATAATATGTAATTTATTGTCCAGTCTGTTGTTCAAAGACAATGTGGAAGGATGCACTCATGATTCCTGAAAACCATTTCTCAACTGATGGATCAGAAGCTTGACAGATTTCAAATGGGACATAAGTTTTTCTTTTTTGATGCTCAGTACAGTATATAGAAGTCAATAATACATATTTCTAGTCCCCAGAGGAATACTTTCCTCTACCATTTTAAATATTTTTGCAAAAAACAATAGGTAGAAACATATTGATCCACATATTCCATACTGCTCATGTTTGCAATATAATTTAGTTTCCACCATGTAATGTCTTTATGGTAAATTTCATTCCTGCATGATTCCAAGTGCTGAGAATTGTATAGACACTTCTGTCCTTCCAAGCAAGAAGTGAAAGTTTATTTTCTCTGTATGCCACTTTTTTTGTTAAAAACTTTGGCTTTTTGATTTTTGTTGGTATTCCCTTTCAACTGGCTTTGATTGCACCAGTAAGATGACACTTTAGTAGTTCTTCTCCTAGGACAATACTAGCATAATATCTGTCAATAGACATGTAGTATCCTGCTGCATTGGGAATTTGTCAGTATCACTGTGAAAACACTTCACATGTTCTCTACATTAATGCCAGCTGATTGTTTTTGCATATATCTCAGTATATATTCCATCTCTTTATTTGCTTTTTTCGTGCAATTTGAATAGAAAACTCCAAAAAAACATACATTTTTGAAAAACTTGTGCTTGCATAAATTTGTCTGGTATAATCACCAGCAATCTCTTTATACTCCCTGAGAAGGTATACATGAGTAGTTGGCTAGATTTATGATGTCCCCTCAGAGCGGACATCCGAGTACAAAGGGTGGGTGGACAGGTCCACTGACCTCTGGACAGGAGGCATGGTATGTGTCATGGCAGTAGCAGGTGCTTCAGTCCTAGTGGGAGCAGCCAGCAGGCTGAATTCAGTTTTTAACTGTCTACTTAGTTGTTTAAAAAACCTCCATTGTTGGCCAGACATGGTGACTCATGCCTGTAATCCCAGCACTTTGGGAGGCAGAGGTGAGAGGATTGGCTGAGTCCAAGAGTTTGAGACCAGTCTGGGCAACTTGGCGAGACCTCACCTCTAGAATAAATCAAAAATTAGACAGACATGGTGGCTCATGCCTGAGGTGGAAGGTGTACGTGAGCCCAGCAGGTCGAGGCTGCGGTGACTGTGAGTGTGCCATTGCACTCCAGCCTGGGCAACAGAGTAAGACTCCAACTAAAAAAAAACAACCAAAAATTCAGTTGTTAAATTTAAAATTTTTAAGAGCTCTTGGTCATGTATTTTTAGGGATATGGTATCTATCTTATTGGTATATATACTTAGCAAAATATCTGCCTCTGTTTGCTCATTAACTCTTTCTCTTTGGATTTTAGTTTTTTTCTTAGTTGAATTTAGAGCTTCTCTTTCATTGTTTTGATTTTCTTCACAAACTTACGTACCTGATTGTTTACTCATTTAAGTATGAGTGTCCATCTTGAGAATCCATCTTGATCTGCTTATGTATTATAATCTGATTCTTCTGATTATGTGGATGAGAGGGCGGTGCTGCAAGGGTGATGGTGGGCTTGGTAGCTTGTCGTTTGCTATATGGGATGTTTATTTTGTTTAGGCATCACGAACTATTTGGGACAGTACCTCATCCCTTCAACCCCAATTCCTAGGAACCTTACTTTTGCCTGAGGTGTGCTTTGTGGTGGGAGATCTGGTCATCTGATCTAATTGTTCCACATAGCCTTCACTGAATTATTGGGAGGTTTTCCCCCAAGGATTCCTCAATTTTCTGGTTTGTTAATGTTCTGGTTGTCATTTTAAAAAATACTGTTCTTTTAAAATATACTTATATGGTTTTTGGTATGACTGTTTTCTAATTTTATGGGATTGTGGAGAGAGTGTAGAGAAGTAGGTCTTTGAGTTTTTAAAAATTAAGTATTTTTATCTAAAATGAATTTTTTTGGTTAAGTTGACCATGCATGTGACAGCTTTTTCTTTTAGAACCTATATGGACATTTCATATTTTGTTGAGTTTTCCTTAAAGTCTGTGGGCAATTATAACAAGTGTATTTTATAAAAAAAAATACAGAGTCTTAGAACTTTTTCTCCAATATGTTATATCTCCAATAAATAGTAATAATCCTTAACAGCAAAGAAGGACAATATTTTAGACAGTACATTTTTGGATAACAATTGAATATCATTAGAGAACTCTGTAAATTTTTTCTTTATTTCTTTAAAAATTTTTATTTTTGTTTGTAGGCAGTTTGCAAATGTAAGAAAGTAGAAAAATGCAGGAGGTTTGGACTGGAAAGATTTTTCAGTAGATTGGCATAACATTGGATTCATGAAAATATAGAAAGAGGCCAGGCTCGGTGGCTCAGCCTGTAATCCCATGCTTTGGGAGGCCGAGGTGAGTGAATTGCCTGAGCCTGTGGGTTTGAGACCCACCTGGGCAACTTGGCGAGACCTCACCTCTACAATAAATCAAAAAATTAGCTAGGCATGGTAGTACACGCCTGTAGTTCCAGCTACTCGGAAGGCTGAGGTGGAAGGATCGCCAGAGCCCAGCAGGTCGAGGCTGTGGTGGCCAGGAGCGGCCACTGCACTCCAATCTGGGCGACTGAGTGAGACTCCGACTCAAAAAAAAAAAAAGAAAGTATAGAAACAAAGCATTAGCTGGGCTCAGTGGCTCAGCCTGTAATCCCGCACCTTGAGTGGGAGGCTGAAGTGAGTGGATCGCCTGAGCCCACGGATTCGAGAACCGCTTGGGCAACTTGGTGAGACCTTATCTCTACAATAAATCAAAAAATTAGCCGGGTGTGGTAGCGCGCACCTATAATTCCGGCTACTCGGAAGGCTGAGGTGGAAGGATTGCCGGAGCTCAGCAGGTCGAGACTGCGGTGGCCAGGAGTGGCCACTGCACTCTAGTCTGGGCGACAGAGTGAGACTCCAACTCAAAAAAAAAAATAGAGAGAAAAGCATTGTAAAGCATTATTATTTAGGATGGCAGGGGAAAAGGCTGTCAGCAAAGAAAACAGGGGCAGGAGTTAGAAAAAAGCAAAATATGAATAATACAGAGTCTTGAAAATCAAAGAGAAAAAAGCTGGGAGTGGTTATTATATCAATTACTACAAAGCTCTACAATGATGATGACTGATAACTGCTTTACAAAATACTTACTGGTGATCTGTAAAATCATAATTTTATTGTCATGGAGATGGGCATTAGTTTTGTATGAAGTTAAGAAAGAAATATATAGATAACAGGAATTTTCAACAAAGTAAGAAATTTGGGAATAGCTTGGTAGGGCAGAAAGGACAGATATTATTGTTTTATATTCAAGTAGAATGTTTAGATGAGATAGGGGAAATTAAAGATTCTTCTATATAGAGTCAATGTATATTGGTAATATAGAGCTAGAGTTGAAAAGGAGATGAGACTATTTAGATCCGAAGTACAATGGTCAGAGTAGTTTCAGGAAAGAGAATCACTTCTCTTTTTAAGTTTGGAATGAAGATCAAGAATTCAGATGTTTAGATAGTGATGAGTTGAAGATAAAGGCACTTCTGAACTCATTCAAAATCTATTTATATAGATTATTGCTTATTTTGGTTTATGAACTTTGAGCTCATTTGACTGTGGAATTAACTTTATAGAAATATTACTATTAATATTTACCTCTTATTATGTTTGCACAGTTGGATTTGGACTTCCTTTAAGCTTTACAGTATTGTAGTTGTATTAATCTGTCTCTTTTGATTTTCCCTTTTACATGACGTTTTTCTTATTCCTCCCCTCTTTCTGTTTTTTCATCAAACTTTTAACATATTTATATTCTTTTGCTTATTTTAGAAGAGATGACTAAATTTAAAAATAACAAAGAAGTAGAACTTGAAGAATTAAAAAAAATCTTGGTAAGTATAGTCTTTGCTATCAATATATAGCAATTATTTTTCAAAATAATATTGAATCCCCTGACTTAGATCCACATAGTATAGACATTTTATGCTATGTTTTTCAACTAAAAATTTTTTAAATTATATTTAGTTTTAAGTAAAGCTACATTCTTATCTGTACCAGTTTTTATACATTTTAACTGTCTTCATTAAGATGTATATATTATTTGAATATGTGTTGATAGCACATTTAGATAAGATCAAATATGCATGTAATGTAGCTGATTATAAATTTAGTAATTTTGGATGTTGTGCCTTTGATAACTGAGCCACAAAGATACAATTTTGAAAACTATATGTATGATAGGTATTTAATACCAAAGTTTAGTGTTCAGGTAGAATCAAGTTTAATGAATTTGTAAGATATGGCTTCATTATGTCTTAATTGATTGCAGTTTATAGAGCATGGATTGGCAAACTTTTTCTGTACAGGACTAGAGCATAAATATTTTAGACTTTGTGTTGTTAATTCTCTCCTCTCTTACCTCTTCCTTCTCTCTTTTATTTTTTGCAACCTTGTAAAACTATAAAAACTGTCCTTAACTCAAGAGTCTATGAAAAAAGACTTCAGGCTGAGTTTGTCTTGCATGCTGTAGTTTACTGGCCCCTGGTATAGAGGACTGTTTTGTTTATGGCTATTTGATTTTGTGTTTTCCTATTTCATCTCTTCATGATTTTGCAGTTTCTTGTTCTTCTATCCCCTGAGAAGCATTATTTTTAAATCCTTGTTCATTATTGAATTGCTTTTGCACCAACTCTTATAACTAATAATAGTTTTACATTGTTTTCAAATTTTCTAATATATGCTTATGCTTTAAGTCCCAGCTTAAACATCACTGCCTTACAAAACATTTCTTGACATTCCAAGCTAGATTTAGGATTCTCTATGGTTAATTTCCTTAGCACTCTAAATTTTTCCCTTATAACACTTATTTACAAATGAAATTAATTTTTGTGCTATTATTGTTTAAAGCTTTATCTGCCCTTAGCTTAGCATAGCTGCTGGCACAGAGTAGATGCTCAATAAATAAATAGTGGAATGAATGTGTGCTCCAGTAAGGGCTAAGAAGCTATGTCCTGTTTACCCTATAACTCTAGTACTTAGCACAGAGACTGATACTTTGTAGGCACTTTATAAATATTTGTTGGATGAATACTAAAGCATTGTCTTTTATATAAAGACTCACATCTACATGAACAAGGACTGGTTTGAAGTTTTTGTTATACATGAACAACAGTAGAGCATAATTAACATCGTGGGTCTCAGGATCAGAATGCCTTGACTAGTATCCAGCTCTTTACTTGCTAGTTGTGTGTCCAAGAACAATTTACCCCACCTCTTGATGCCTCAGTTTTTCCATCTATGAAATAGGGAAAATAATTGTACACATTTCACAGGGTAGTTGTGAGGAATAAATAAGATATTTCATTTACTCATTTAACAAACATTTGTTGAGTTTCAATTATACTATACTCTGGAAATATAGTGGGAGCAAATGCCTGCAAACTGCAGTCATCAACTAGTAACTCTTAAATTCAATTACTCAAATGTAACATTACAGTGGTGACAAGGGCAGCAAAGGATTAGTTCACAGTTCTGTGAGGCCTGTAATAAAGGGATTTGAGCAAGTTAGATCAGAAGAGGCTTTTTTGAAGCAGTAAAAATTGAACTGAAATCTGGAGAAAGAAGGGAATGTAGCACACCAGATAGAAGAAACATTATGTACAAAGGTTCTTTAATGGAGTGGAGGATGGTGAGTACAGAATGGAATGAAAAGAAGAGTGTGATGCAAGATATGGCTAGAGAGTTAGAACCTGAAAATTGATGGTCTTCTAAATCGTATCAAGGGAATTTTGTATTTATCCTAAGAGGAATAAGAATTTCTCAAGAATTTAACAGAGAGTGCTGCTTGGTCAGATTTGTACTTTGAAAAAATTTGATTTGCAGTATGGAAAATAGAGAACAGTTAAGATAGATAGTCACAGTATTCAGAGGAGAGATAATTATAGCTTAGGCTGGGAGGTGGTGGTAGTAATGAGAAAAAAATGGATGGTTTGTTGAAAATACTCTCCTTTTTTCATTGAATTGCTTTTGTGCATTTGTAAAGACATCAGGTGGCCATGTTTGTATGGATCTATTTCTGACTCCCTTTTATTCCCTTGAGGTATTTATCTATTTGTTAGTATTGCAGTCTTGATGACTGTAGCTTTATTTAATAGCAAGTCTTAGATATTGGGTAATGTAATTTTGCCAACTGTATTACTCAATTTCAAAATTGTTTTACCTATTCTATTTCCTTAACTTTTCCACAAAATATTTTAGAACTAACCTGTCTGTATTTAAAAACCCCTTGGTGGAATTTTTATTGGAATGTGTGAAATATATAGTTGTCTTCTAATACGTGAACACAATATCTGTCTCCATTTATATAGATCTTTTTAAAATGATGATTTCATTTAGTAGTATTTTGTAGTGTTTGGCATACAGATCCTAAACATGTTGTGGTAGATTTATGCCTGAGTATTTCTTTTTTGCAGGTATTATTTAAAATATTTTTCCAATTGCACATTGCTGGTAGTTGGGAATATGATTTCTTTTTGCACTTGCTATCCTGTGATCTTGCTAATTTTGCCTACTAGTTCTAGGGATATTTTGTAAATTCCTTGGAATTTTCTATGTAGACAATCATGTTGTCTGCAAACAGGGTCGTTTTTATTTCTTCCTACCCAGTCTACATGCATTTGATTTCTTTTTCTTGCCTTATTGCACTGGCTCAGATTTTCAGTTCAATGAATAGGAGTGGTGAGCATGTGTATCTTTGATATCCCAGTCTTAAGAGAAAAGTATTCAATGTTTTATCCTTAAGTATGATGTTACTTGCAGGCAGTTTGTGGGAAGTTCACCTCTATTTCTAGTTGACTGAGAGCCTTTATTATTAATCAGTGTTGAATTTTGCTTTTTCTGTATCAGTTGATGTGATCATACAATTTTTCTTTTTTAGAGCATTGATTTGGTGTATTACATTGGTTGATTTTCAAATATTGAACCAGCTTTACATTTCCAGGATAAACTCTACTTGATATTGTGTATTATTTTCTATATTATTGAATTTTATTTGTTAATATTTTGTTGAGGGTTTTTATATTTGTGTTCATAAGAGATACTGGTCAGTAATTTTCTTTCCTTTTTCTTTTTAGCTCTCCTTGACTGGTTTTAGAGACAGGGTAATGTTGGCCTTGCAAAATGAGCTGGGAAGTCTATTTTAATGACATTATTACAGCCACTCCATGTTTCTTATGGTTATTGTCTGCATGATTTATCTTTTAACCTGTCTTTGGCTTTGTATTTGTACATGTGCCATGTATGTAGACTGCATATAACTCGGTTCTTCTTCTTTATTCATTCTGAGAATCCCTGGTAACCGAAGTGTTTAGATGTTAGTATCCTTCAAACTTGTTGTTTAACTATTGATGTGGTTCGATTAGTTTCACCATTTAAAAACTTTACTGTTTTCTCCTTTTGCTTTTGTTCCTCTGTTTTGCACTTTCTGCTTTCTTTTGGGTTATGTGAATATTTTTGGTATTCCATTTTAATGTATTTAGTGGCATTTTATATATACCTCTCTGCACTTATTTCTGTGGTTGCTCTAGGGATTACAACATGTATCCATTACTTAGTCCACTTTGAACTAATATTGTACCATTTTATGTAAAATGCTGAAACCTTTTGACTCTATACGTCTCTTTCCCCACTTTGTTCTTTATGCTAGAGTTGTATAGATTACACCTACATGCATTTACATTTTCACAAGATGTTATAATCTTTGCTTTAAATAGTCATATGTTATTTAAAGAACCTTAGAGGAAATGGTTGTTTATATTTACACCAATATTTACCAGTTTTGATGTTCTTCATTTTTTTCCCTGAAGATCCAAGTTCACTTCCAACATTGTTCTCATTCAGCCTAAAGAATTTCCTTTTTATTTTATTTCACAGGTCCCTGAGTGCATTTCCTATAGTGCAATTCTGCTAGCAACAAATTCCCTTAGTTTGTCTTTCTGAATATATCATTTATTTAGTCTTCATTCTTAAAGGATAATTTTTGTTGAATATGGAATTGTGGATTGATGGGTTTTTTCTTTCACCTAAAAGATGATGTTTTATTGTCTTGTCCTCCATGTTTTGTAATGAAAAATCTACAAACACACTGTAAAGATTTTCTCCTTAGCATTGATTTTTCAGCAGTATGTGTGGTTGAATTATTCTGTTTGTGATTTACTGTACTTCATAAATCTATAAAATTTTAACTTTCTTTAAATAGGGGAGGTTTTGGTCACTGTTTCTTCAAATATTTTTTCTATTCTATTTTCATTATCCTTTGCTCCTGGGATTATCATCACACATCTATTTGATTTTTTTCTCTTGTTCCACAAGTTCCTAAGATGCTATTCATTTTATTTCAATTTTTTTCCTTCTCTCTTCTTCAGATTGGATCATTTCTATGATTCCAATATTCAGATTCACTATCATCTTCCTTGTAATCTCCATTGTGCTCTTAAGCTTATCCAGTGAACTTTTCCCCCCTAGTTCTGAAATTTCCATTTTTTTCTTTCTTTTTTTTTTTCTATTTTTTTTTTTTTGAGTTGGAGTCTCACTCTGTCGCCCAGACTGGAGTGCAGTGGCCTCTCCCGCCACCGCAGCCTTGACCTGCTGGGCTCCGGCTATCCTTCCGTCTCAGCCTTCCAAGTAGCCAGAACTACAGGTGCACGCTACCACGCCCGGCTAATTTTTTGATTTATTGCGGAGATGAGGTCTTGCTGCCCAGGTGAGTCTCGCACCTGCGGGCTCAGGCAATCCACTCACCTCAGCCTCCCAAAGGCGTGGGATTACAGGCTGAGCCACCGAGCCCGGCTCCTATGTTTTTCTTATTTTTTGTTTCCTTCTGTTTCTTATATCTTCATTTATTTCAGGAGTATTCCCTGTTCCTGGTTGAGGATAGTTACAATAGCTGCATTAATTCATTTGATAAAGTTCTTACATCTTGATTATACTGGGGATAGCATATGTTGGTTTTTTTTTTTCTTGAGAATGTTCACATTTTGTCAGTTTTTTGTATGTTAAATAATTTTAAATTTTATTCAGGACAATGTGAAGTTTTTGTTATGTAGACTCTGGGTTCTAATATATTCTTCTGGATATTGTAAATGTTTTTATCCAAAAATTAGTTAACTAGATTCAAAAAGAAGTTCTGTCTTACCTTCTATGAATCATGCTTCAAATCTCAATTTCGTTCTCTGAGCCTTTTGTTTGTTGCTTTTGAATCTGTATATGAATGTATTTTTCATGGGTTGGTTTTAGATTTGTTTAGTGTTCATACACAGAATTAGAGCTTGCTTTCTTTGGTTCTCTTCTGTATGATTTATCCTTCATGTTCTGGCAGTTAGTCATATATATATATTATACTATAGTAGTTTTTAGTGGGAGAGTTGGTCTGTAAGTGTGAGGTTACAGTGATGTACTAAAAGCTGAAAGACTTTTACTTTTTGATCTGTCAAATGGAGATACAAACATCTAACTTGCACAGAGTAGTGTAAGGAGTAAAAATATATATAAAGCATCTAGTTAGGAGTGGTCATATAGAAGTCATTAAACAGAGTGGTTAGTTTTATCAGTCTATCTCTTCAGTCCTTGAAATAATTTAGACCTTTATCGTCTCTTGTTTTGACATAGCAGTCTCATAACTGATTTTCTTGTTGTTAGATCACTCTCCTTAAGCTTTATTCTGTGCTATTGCTAGTGTTGTCATTTTAAGTTACAAATATGACGATGTTATATTGCTGTATTAAAACTTTTGATGATTCCACATTGCCTACAGATAAAATTCAAACTCTTTAACTACAATTAGCAGTCTCTATAATTTATAACAGAATTTTTTATTAGGTCTTTAATAAAATTGTTGTGACCTCATGCTTGAGTAAACAACGTGAAATGTGAGTTCATACATACATGGTATGTTTTATAGCAGGAGGAATGATTAGAACTTAAGCACCCACAACTAAAGAATTAAGGGCTGTGTTATATATCGTCTTGCTTTTGTTTCTTAAGCTGTATTGTCCAGCATGATAGTCACTAGCTAAATGTAGCTATTAAATTGATTAATTTAAATTAATTAAAAATAAATCAAATTTAAAAGTCAGTTCCTCAGTTGCAATAGCTACATTCGAAATGGTCAATAGCTATTATGTTGGACAGTGTAGGAAATGTTTTCATTTCTGTAGAATATTCTGTTGTATAGGACTTAAACTAGAGCAGGCTTTGAAAAACTTTTAATATAAAAGGTAAGTTTTAAATTATTTAGGCTTTCTAGGCTATTTGGTCTCCATTGGAGCTATTCAACTCTGTTGCTATAGTGAAAACAGGTATAGGCAATACATAAACGAATAGGTGTGGTTGTATTACCATAAAAGTTTATTTATAAAAACTGGCAGTGAACTGGATTTGACCTGTAGGCAATAGCTTACTGATCCTGGTCTGGAACATTGTGTTATATTCTTGACTTCTTATTTAAAATGGTATATTGACAAAGTGATATTCCTCATCCTGAGGGAATGAGGTAATTGAAAGTCATTTTACAGGAAGAATGATGACAAGAATTAGAGATTTTAGAATAGTTAAAAGAACACTTGGGGGTGATTACAACTCTCTTCAAATATTTGTTAGCTATCATGTGAAAGAAAAATTAGAGTTATCCTATATGATTATGGAAGGAAGAATAATGACTATTGCATGAAAATCACAGGAAGCACATTTTAGTATAATCTAGGTGCAAAGAAGATCAGTAGATTAACTACTTACTTGCTAATAGTGTGGAGAGAGAAGGTTTGAATTCAGTGACCTATATTATTTTTTAAATTAAAATTCTGTGACTTTTATTTCAGGGTTCTGTTCATTGAATTCACTGCTAATTCATTTACTTTTTAAATTTACTTAAAGAATTTTAGCAAAGGAGAAGCTAGTATTCTTTCCACAACTCTATTTGGATAGTTTGATTATTTTGAATATGTGTATGGTTTGGCTCTTCTGATTTGTTAATGTTTTTAAATAGGCAGAAAATCAAAAGCTTTTAGATGAAAAGAAACAGTTTGAGAAGATTGCTGAAGAATTAAAAGGAACAGAACAAGAACTAATTGGTCTTCTCCAGACCAGAGAGGTTTGTCTAAGGATACATTTTTGTTTCAGATATTTTGTTACTAGAATATAATTTATAAGGCAGATTATGGTGTAGCTGTTTGATTTGTGAAATTTTTTTTTCAAAAGATTCCTTTCAAAATTGTTTCCTTGTTACATTTGATATGTTAATGATTGATTTAAAAAAACATCTGGAGAACCTCCATGTTAAGATGTGGGAGAGAAAGGTCACCGTTTAAGATGTCAACACAATGCATAATACTGTTGTTTATTAAAGTTACATTTTTTGATGTCTTGAGTTTTTCTTTTGTTTTGTTTTGTTTTGTTTTTTCTGCAACAAAATCTCATTATGTTGCCCAGGATGGAATGCAGTGGCTATTCATAGATGTGATCATAGCACATTACAGCCTTCACCTCCTGGCTCAAATGGTCTTCTTGCCTCAACCTTCCCAGTACTTGGAACTAGAGTAGTGCATTACCATACCTGACCTAATATTTCTTTCTTTTTTTTTTCTTGAGTTGGAGTCTC